TCATAGAGCCAGCAGGTGGCAATAGTGGTTAAAGCACTGGATTCCCACATGGCCGACTATGGTTTGGGTCCCGGACCTGGCAGCATAAAAGTCATGCCAGGCACATGTGTTACTGCATGTTCAAAATCCTGAGTGGAGAATGAAGGAGGAGAGATTGTGGCATGGTCATCTGCCCCCCCCTCCGGAGGGGTGACTTCTTACTTTCTTTCTCTTTCTCATATATCTCTGGTGCACACACATGCCCTATGGCAAAAATCTAAAATATAAATGAAAAAATTAAATGGATCAGAATCAAGTTGATACTGAACTCATATTGAAAAATAAACATGAGTGACCAGCAGCTGGCATAGTGGTTATGTCACTGGACTCCCACATAGTCGACTGTGGTTCAAGTCCCAGACCTGGCAGCTTAAAATGCAAACCAGGTACGTATGTATCCATATCCAAAATTCACATGGGAAAATGGAGAAGGGATTGTAGCATGGCCATCCCCCCAGGGGATGATTTCTTGCTTTCGGTCTCTGTCTCTCTGGCAAACGCACATAACCATATAGTGAAAGAAAAAAAAAACCTCTAAAAAAGTAAATAAGCATGCAAGGGGACCAGATGGCATAATGGTTACACAGTTGGACTCTCACATCGTTGACTGTGTTTGAGTCCCAGACCTGGCGGCTTAAAACTCATACCAGGAACTTGTGCTTGTATGCCCAAGATCCTGAGAGGAAAATAGAGGAGAAGGGATTGTGGCATGGCCATATGCCCGTGGGGGTGGATTTCTCACTTCCTGTCTCTCTGTCTCTATCTTTCCAGCAAGTGCACTCACACTATAGCAAAAATATCTCTTAAAAAAAAAGTCATCCAAACCTAGAGGTCATCAAGTCAACATCTTTGGGGGTCGGACATGCTCAGGGCAAACTAAGAGGCCTTCCAGACTCTTCATTTCTTTCTTTCACTCAGGTTTTCAGCAGAGTGCGAAGAAGATGGCAGGTGAAAAATCTGTGAAGTCGGATACTAAGGAGAAGAAACCTGAAGCCAAGGGGGCGGGCAGGTTGCATGCTGGTTAAAGGCATTGGATTCCCACATGGCCAACTGTGGTTCAAGTCCCAGACCTGGTGGCTTGCTTTCTACCTCTTCCTTTCTCTATCTCTGTCTCTTTCTCTCTGGCCAAATTAAATAGTAATAACAAATGGAATTAAAATAAATAAATAATTCTTTAAAAAGAAAGAAAGAAAGAAAGAAACCTGAAGCCAAAAAAGTTGATGTCAGTGGCAAGGTTAAAAAGGGTGACTCCAAGGCTAAAATGCCCAAGAATGGGAAATTCACTACAGCCAAAACCCAGTCATAGTCCTTGACATCAGCTAGTACTCCTGATCTGCCATGTATTCCAGGAAGGTCATGTAGAAGAAATACTCGGCCACTAAATCCAGGATCTTAAAGAAAAAGAAGGTTTTTGCCATTGTCATAAAACTAGTTGGTGGGGGACCAGCAGTTAGCGTAATGGCTGTGTCGCTGGACTCCCACGAAGTCGACCGCCGTTCGAGTCCCAGACCCAGTGGCTTAAACTCACGCTGGGCACATGTACATGCGTGCCCAAGATCCCAAGAGGAGAATGGAGGAGAAGGGATTGCGGTGTGGCCATCCCCTCTGGGGGGCGGGGGGGTTTCTCACTTTCTGTCTCTATGTCTCTCTCTGTCTGTCTGGCGAGCACACGCGCCCTATAGCAAAACCCTCTAAAAAAAAAAAAAAATAAAACTAGTTGGTGGGGACAAGAATGGAGGTCACAGTTTCCAAAATGTCTAGGTATTATCCTATTGAAGATGTGACCCAAAAGTTGTTGAGCCACAGCAGAAAACTCTTCAGTCAGCATGTGCGAAAGTTGCGAGCTAGCATCACTCCTGGGACCATTCTGACCATCCTCACTGGACAGCACAGAGGCAAGAGAGTGGTTTTTCTGAAGCAACTGAGCAGTGGCTTGCTACTTGTGAATGGACCTCTTGTCCTCAATTGAGTTCCACTGCATATAATACACCAGAAATTTGTCATTGCCACCTCCACGAAAATTGATGTTAGCAAAAAAAAAAAAAAAAAAAAAAAACCTGGCTGGTGGTGTAGTGGTTAAGAATGATGGACTCCCACATGGCCAACTGCGATTCTAGTCCAGGACCTGGCAGCTTACTTCCTCACTTTCCCTCTCCCTCACACTCTGTCTCTCTCTGGTCAAATCGAAATAAAGTGAAATAAAATAATTCTTTAAAAAAAGGAAAGAAAGAAAAATTTCCCAAAACACCTCACAGATGCTTACTTCAAGAAAAAGAAGCTACAGAAACCCAGACACCAGGAAGGGGAGATCTTCAACACAGAGGAGGAGAAATATAAAATTACAAAGCAGTGCAAGGTTGATCAGAAAGCTGTGGATTAGCAAATTTTACCAAAAATCAAAACTGTTTCTCAGTTCCAGGGCTACCTGCAATCCCATGTTTGCCCTTACAAATGGAGTTTATCCTCATAAACTGGTGTTCTTAATTTCTTGCCAAGAACCTAATTAAATAACTGATCATATATATAAAAAGGCAAGAAAAATAAGCATGCAAGAACACAAAGGTAAAAGTGAAAAAGAAAAACTACTGTGGGTTGACTACGGATATATGAAATTATAGTTCAAACCGGTGTGTAAATAGCAGACAAATCAATGAAATAGAATAGAAAGCCCAGAAAGTTTTCCAAGGACATATGGAAATTTAGTGCATAATAAAGGTGGTATCTCAAATCACTGGGGGCAAAGATAAACTCTAATAAATGATGCTGGAACAATTGATAAGGCAACTGGAAGAAGAAAAAAAATCATACACAAGTATAAACTCAAAGTGTAAACCAATAAAATCTTGTCAGTGCATGAAGAAACATGGGTAAATTCTTGATCATATTTTAAGAAAAGACTTTTTCACTGAATCAAAATCTAGAGGCAGTAAGTGTTTATTTAATTTGAGCATATTTTTTTTCTTTTTTTAAGGAATTATTTAATTCAATTTGTTGATTTTTTAAAAATTTGACCAGAGACGCCACTTGGCCAGGATTTGAACCACAGTCGACCATGTGAGAGTCCAGTGCCTTAACCACCACATTGCCTGCTGGACCCGTTTACATTTTTTAATACATAACAGCAAAAACACAATTATCAAAGCCAAAAAGAAACTGACAAAATAATTGAAACATAGAAAAACAGATAAAAAGCAATAGAGTTATTGTATAAAGAACACTCAGAAAATGTCAGGAGGAGGAACAATATTCCACTAGGAAAATGCGGAAAAGACGTGAACAGACGATTTACACACAGACAGACACACAAAAGAGATTGAAATTGCCCTTAAACATACAGGCAAAAACAATACAAACAACAACAAAATTGAAAAGAGAAACCATGACATTGAGTTATTATTTCACAGCTATTATTATTGAACATTTAAAACTATGTCACTGGTGATGCAGGGAAACAAACGCTTTCCTATATTGCTGGTGGGAATATAGGAAAAACAGGTGTGAGATTCACAGTATATGTGGGAGTCACGGTGTGTAGAGGAGGTGAACAGATCCCTCAGGGACCAAGAACAAGTGGACAGAGGAGACAGGGGGCCCAGGACAGAAGCCCTGGGGACGCCGCCACTCAGGGTGGACGCTCAGACTCCTG